TAAGAGACAGATGCAGAGCTGCTCTTGGTGGGTCTGTGCCTTGCAGGACCTTCTGGTTGCAGATGGGAGGGGTGGATGTGATGCTCACAGGAGTGGAGGGTAGGGTGGGGTTTTTTTGGTTCCCCTTCTACAGAAAAAAAAAATCTGTGCCGTTCAAATCATTTGCCTTTTCCCTTGTGCTGACAATTTAACAGCCTTTTTAAAAGCTTTGGTTTCTCTCAAGTACGCTCGCCCCATACGTGTTTTAATTTTTGTGCGGAGGCCTGGAGCTTAACAATTATTTTGCTTAAGCTCTCTGAGACTTGCCATAAAACTTTTTTTCCTTTCTTTTTTTATTTTTTTAAAACACACACATGCTAATGATCCCCATCAGATCATATTGTTAAACAGGGAATAAAATGCTTATGCCAAGATGACATTATTTAAAAAAATGTTAAAAGCAGGCCAGCAGAGCTCATTTCAACAGTTTTGCTCTGAAATAATTTGCACAGATTTGTTAGAGTTAATTTGTTGAAAAGTTCAATGTTTGTACAGGCAAGTCCCAATTTCCACACTGAGACTCAGAAGCAGGAGAGGAGCGAGTGTGTGTCCAGTGTTTGCAGGAGCAGGATGGTGGGAACTTCCCTCCCTCCTGCCCTTCCCCCCTGGTGCAGGAATGTAAAAAGCAGTGTCAGAAGGCTGGGAAAGTCGGCTTCGGATTTTTGCGGACTCCTTGCAAATCAGAGGAACTGTCTGGCTCAAATATGCATTTAGGGCCAAGAGAAGAGGATTTCCTGCTATTTAGTTGCTTGAGGAAGGAAAGGATTTACCTCTCCGCTGTAACAGGACTTAATTTTTCTCCTCTTTAATAAGAATATCGTAGCGTAGGGCAGCAGTAGTAAACCTGCAAAAGCAATCACGCCTCTCCCCCCTCTTCCTTTACCCTCCCCACACCATGATGCAACTCCCCCCCACTGCCCAAGCATCCTCCCATCCCAGCTCCCAGCCCCGGCGATGCCTTGGTGTCTCTCTCCATCGTGAAGGAGAGTCGTGGAGGGGGCGGCTGCTGCGACGTCGCTCGCTCGGCCGGCCGCCTCGCTCGGCCCACCATCTGGATCCAGTTAGCTCTCTCGGCAGTAGGGCTGAGTCTCATTTCCTCCAACCAGTAATGTTATATAGGCAGTGATCCTGTTCTGCCCTAACATAATTGAAAATTATGTGTATTGTAGACTCGCAGCGCTGAAATGTAGACTCGTAAAAATCTGTGGCTCAGGTAGCCTGTGGAGATTGAATTTGGCACACAATGAAGCTTTTATGTAAAGTAAGAATTATAAGCCACCACATCAATATTGTGTTACAGGCATGACAATTCTTGGATGAGGAGGCCTTGAGTCAGGCTCGTCACCTTAAACAATGCTAATATTTCTTACTCGATCAATGGGGCTGGCGTTTTGAAGCCAGCAAATTGGACTTACTTTCTTTTGTACATGTCCCGCCGTGGAAGCTGTGGGTTTGTTAGCTTGACGCAGGCGTTGGCTGTGGGCTCTGGCCTCTGTTTATCTGACAGACAGAACATCTCGCCCTTGGCAGGGCCGGGATGCTGCTCTGGATCTTGGCCACTTGGTAGAGCTCATGGAAGTTGCTTTATTGACCCTTGTGTGTTACTGCTCTCTGTGGGGACTGAGTCTTTTATTTTTAATTTTTCCCCCCACTGGTGCAAATGGAAGCTGTCCGTGTGTGTCCTTGAGAGCAAAACTGAGCCCTCTGGGTTTGGACCATTCCTGCTGTGCTCCACGTGCATGTCCAAAAGGAGAAGCAGCTTTGGCTGTGTTTTAACCTTTGCACCATAAGCATTCTTGGATCCTCTTTGGTAAGGGTGGGTAAAGAGAATGACTTTATTGAGAGTCCAAACTAAGGGTTTTAAAAGCTGAAAAGCGAAGTAACAGTAAGCTCTTATGAAACTTTCATCTTGCACTTAGGCTGGTCAGCCTGGTGTGAGAGCACCTCTGCTGAAAGTACGGTCTCTTGTGAGATCGAGGTGGAGCAGGAGCAACTGTACCTTCTTGCTCTGTTTTTTCTAAGGGAATTTATTGCTAGTAAAAACCAGCAGAACTGACAGTCCTGAAGGCTTTGTAATCCCTGCAGTAATTACTGACTGGACAGGGTCTGATGTGAGCTTGCTTATGCTGCTGTGTCAGTGCCTCAGTCTGCCCTTGGGGCAGTCTCAGAGAAGCCCACGTGTTTCTTGGCCTGTGTTCTAGGACAGCTGCTGACCTGAGCTCCTTCATGGGTTGTCATGGTTTAGGAATATTCCAGGGTTGCTCATGACCATGGAGTGGTCATGGAAAATGAGGGCGATTGGTTTATTTTGGTGGGTAGTGGCTTAGTGGCCATTTCCTGCAACGCCACCAGTTGAGCTGGCAGGTTCTTGTAAGTGCTTTAGCTGTTGTAGCAATTATGTCTCACTCTCCCAAATGGTTGTAGAGTTTAAAACAGAGGCGTGTACCACGAGGCACATATCCTCTGAGGATGTTTTCCTTGGAAAAGGGGAAAAATACTTCACTAGCTGGCTGGAAAACCTGAGGAAGCCAGTAGTAGCCATGACCCATCAGGACCCTTTCTGCAAATTCATATGCCCCTTTATATTTGGTGGTGTTACAATCACTGTCTAAGAGAACTGATGGACTTCACAAAAATGTAGCAGTTGAGTTGTTTAATAGTGCCATCTGCAAATCCTAAATGTATCAGATTTCTCCTCAAGTTAAGAAGCTCTCAGTTGACTTAGGTTTTGAGTCCATTTTCTGTACACTTGGGTTGCATATTTAAGCACTTTTTTGAAACCACAAAGGGTTAGAAAGTTACTTTAACATCATCTCAACTTTAAAATTTATGTTGTGGTCACCTGTATTGATGGGCAGGGATTTGATACAAGCAGTCATATATCTGGAGGCTTACAGTTGAGTCGTAAGAGTTAGAAATGTTGCTTATGGTAGACTAGTTCTGGTTTGTTTGAGTTTTATTTCTTGTTTTTGAGAAGTGCTGAAACATTCTGGTCTGCATAACACAAATCCCAAATGTCAAGATGAATAAAAACAAGACTTCTTGGAACTTGAGGAACTCATATGGGGCACAAATCCAGTGTATGGGTTTGTTTATTTGCATTCCAGTAGCTCAGAAATCTCGGGCCCTCCAAGTGATGGGAATTGGTAATGCATCCTCCTTCTGACTCCTGCTTCTGGTCACCTTCGTGCCCAGGGTCTTGCAGCAAACAGCCTTGTATGCTAGCAAATGTTTTGCATACGTGAGCAAATGTGATAGTGATGTGCTGAAAGCATGGAACCAGATCTCCTTCCTTCCTTCATGGAGATTTAGATATGGCTTCCGTTGTTCTCTTGCAGTGGTGGGGGTTGTTTGTGTGTGGTTGTCCTTCAAGATTACTCTTACTTAAAAAAAAACCCAAACCAAACCAAAAACAACAAAAACACACACACACACACACAAAAGAAGGAATGGGTAAACATAACTATTTCTCGAAATATTTTCTAGGAATAGATCTGTTAGGACAACCAGAGCCTAGTGCTAAATAGGATCTTCTGCAGTGGCCTGATCTATGTGTACAGATGCTTTTCTTTAGTTCTGGGAGGGAGCTGATGATATATGGCAGTACACATTTCTTCCATCATGATACAGGTCTTTCAGAGATCACGTATTAGCCAGTATGCCTAATTGGCACAGTGTAGCACCATGCAGAGGGAAAGCTTGGGCTGAAATTATATTTAGATGTACTGCGTAGAAGTCTGTTTGGGCTGACTAATTTCTCTGTGGGGCTTCTCTTGGTCAGAATCGAGTGCTTGTGATGCAGCAATCTGGGTACCAGCTCAAGACTTCACCAGTTGGTGGAAGCCTGGAGCTCCACTGTGTGATCTGACCGGGGGTGCAATGGCTCCTCCGGTGAGTTTAGTGACAGGACATGCATACCCAAGAGCAGAAATTTTAGTTGATATTTGATGCTGTTTAGATTTGTGGGGATGTTCTGCTCTTTCTTGAAGAGAAGTTAAGCTTTTTTGCTTTTGAATCAACACCCGCTTACGCTGCAGACTCACTGCCAGTGTGTATTCAGCCTATCTGCCAGTGACAGTGACAGAAAAGTTGTGGCTATGCCCAGCGCCTGCCCAGCACAGCGTGGCCTGGGTGCACCAGGCAATACTGCCTTGGACATCATCAACGGGAGAGCTTATTTAGTTTGGCCTTGCAATTGAATAAGTTACACTGTGCGAATCCCTTCAGGGTTGTCTGACAGAAGATGAACAAGAAGAAAATAATCCGTGGTGACTTCCAGGAATGATGAAAGTAGAGAAAACAGGTGCTAAGACCCAGCAGTGATGGGTCTTTTTGGGGTAGACCTCTGCCTTTTAGGGCTTCCGTAGCACTGTGAAGCCAGAGGAGTTGACATGGTGCATTTGTTGAAAGAAGGTTGACAGATGACCCATTAAATAATGAGATCATGTTCTTAACCCACGAGACGTGTTTTCCCTCTCCTGAGACTGATAATTCACCTTCCCCTCCCTTGTCCCATCCTGTCTATGGTTTTGATATTTTTGTTTCTGTGTGGGTTTTATTCTTCTTCCAGATTTGCTGCGATTAGTAAAATCAGTGTAATACTGTCTTTGCAATCTGCTTTATTTTCTTATTCCTGAACTGTAATGTGGTGGTATGAAATTGTTAGTGTTCTGCACAGATTTTGTCTCCACAAACATGCAAAGTCGTCTTAATTTTTGTTTCAGTTCCTTGCATAAGTTTTAATTTATATCTTTTTACCCATGTTACCTAAGATTTGTTATTTTTTTTGCCTTTCTTTTCTAAACTCATTTTTCTTTCCCCATTTTTGTTTCCTCCATCCAGTATCTGCAGATGAAATGGCCACTGCTTGATGTTCAGGCAGGGAGCCTTCAGAGTAGACAAGCCCTCAAGGATGCTAGGTCTCCATCTCCAGCACACATTGTTGTAAGTAAACGCAGAAAGATGTTCTTCCTTTGTTTAAAAAAAAAAAAGGCATTTGACATTAATGGCATTGGTTGTCATCCGTTTTCTTTTATACAAACCAAAACACTTAAAAACAAAAACCCTAACGAGCCCATGGTAAAAGGAGGGAATACATTTACTATTGCTGGGCTGTTTATGAGATTATCATTCATGTGCCTCGTAGGAGAGCAGAGAGTTGAAAATGCTCTTTACACACTGCAGAATTATTTAGTGGGAGTGAAGTCCAATCAGGCTGGTTTACACATCTGACAATGTTGAACTGAAGAGAATGAAGAGACACTTTTGGAAAGCATTAAAAAAATAAAAACCAAGCCTGTTCTATGGCCTTTACTAAAAAAATCTTTTATTACAAAATCTTGAATTAAAGTTTTGTGAGAGTTGGTCAGCATTTTACCTGGGTGCAGGCTCAACCGAGCACATGTCCCTTTGTGTTGTGATGACTTTTCATTTAGTGTAAAATGTGTTATTGAATGTTTACTACTTACCTGCAAACTATCAAACCTGCTTTACAATGAGTAGCATTGCTAAAACCAGCTTCATTTATTAACTTCTCAATTTTTCAGTTCTTGGTTAAATTTTCTTGCTTCTATTATAAAAACAATGTTGACTTTGAAATGTTCAGTACAAATTTGCATGACAGGGGCTTGGGGTTTTATTTTACTTTCTAAAATAGCGTCCGTAGAGGTCTAAAATAAAACTGTTTATATGGTGTTATGGAAGAGGGGCGGTATGCATTGGCCCATCCTCACCCATAGCCAGTGTCAGTGCCTTCTGTTGTTAAGGACCATCTTAGTTCAGCCTGTTCATCTGAGAAATTTACTTCTGGGGAAGATGGCACATAGTGGGGTAGCATATTTCTTCTGAAATAGTTTATCATCAAGTTTTACATGATTTTTTTTTTTTTTTTAACATTTTTATAACCACTGGATGATTAGGTGAATCCCAGGAAAGAAACATTGCTTGTTCTTTATCTTTTGCTATACAGTTTAAAACTGACATAGCTGGTAGATCATCCAAGACACACATTTGTTTTGTTAGAAATCTCAAATCATACTAAATATTTTCGAGGAGCTTCTTTTTCCGTTGTCTCTAACTTGAGAAGTGTCAGCCCTTTGCTATGAGTGTCTTTATTTCTTATTTAAAAAGAAAAACAGTTGCCTGTCTTTTAGAGTCCACAGCTTCTAAACCATCCCGGCAGAGAGCGATGGGAACAAGACTGGTATTTGCTTACTTGCTATCTAGCATTGGTTGCTTCACTTTTTAAGAATGATTTTGCTCTTCCTTCCCATCCACTTGGGCTGTCACTCTAGGAAGAGATCAGAGAAAAGATGTTTGGCTGGTTATCTAGGAATCTACAGCCATCAAAACCCGCTGTCATCTTATTTTTAATGAGAAATGAACCAAAGTAATTTTCTCATTTTATTTTATTTTTTTTTTTACTGCTGTGCTGGAGGACCGGCACAGGGCATGGGAGTGTTCACGGGACGCTGGGGCTGGCACGGTGAAGTGGTGTCAGGGTTGTAGGAGGTGATGATGAGGGAGCAGGAAGTTTCTCCTGGCTGGTTGCAGCCTGGGAGGGCAGGCTGAGTTTGGTGGGTAGCTTCGTTGGGGTTCATCTGCACGACCCAGTGCTGAGCATCTGCTGTCGCTGGAGCTTCCCGCTGCGCAGGAGAGCAGGCGCTTGCCTCTTAAACCCAAAGCAGCTCATTGTGCTGGAGAGGGTTGGTTGGGATCCTGGCTCCCCTGGCCCTCTCCAGCCTCTCCACCCAGGTATGGGCAAGGTGGAGACAAGTGGACAACACAAACACACCAAAAAAAAAAAGGGTTCAAAAATTGCAATCATTTCGGAAAATAAAGAGAAACATGTTTCCAGGGAGGCTGAGGTTGATCTGCCTTGTATTTGACCATTTATGGGGTTCTTATGGGTCTCTTTAAAAGCTGTTTCACTCTGCTATTCAATAAAAAGCATATTTACCATAGCAACCACTTAGGCCGTGAGGAACATATACTACCTCCGAGATGGAGGCCACCTTCCAAAAGAGCCACAGCTGGCATTTGTAATGTGATCTTTTGTGCTACTTACAATGTTGGAGGGAGAGGAGGCGGAGGAGGGAGTGAGGGGGGAAGCAGTGGTGGTTTTTGGGAGTGGGGGGAGGTTCTGCAAGGTTTAATGTTTATTTCTAACAGCAAACTGTTTTGCCTTGTTTTGTTAAAATAAATAAATAAGGGGTAGATTTTTCCACCCTTTTTCCTGGCATCCGCCCCAGGCCACATTAATTCTGTGGAGTAAAAATGGTCTTATTTTTTGGTCAATAAAGTTAGAGTGGGTAATGGCATTCAGGGAGATGAAGTGGCTGCAGATGCCAGTTGGCCTGGGATGTGTCAGGCTTCTCTGGTGTCCCCGTTCGTCACTGCTGCTCCTGCCCACAGCACCTGGGACCTGGCTGCTCTTGCATGAGGCCCTACACCCATTTCTGCATACATGAAAACGCAATTAATCTTTTTATGGAACAATGTGGGGTATTTCATGGGCATGCTGATGTTTCTGTGCGAGTGTAATGTGTAACATATAGGGTTGGAAACTGATTCTCCACCCACAATGCTGTGTCTTGTCTACCTGCCAAGTGTACCTGTGCCAGTTTTTCATCTTGAAATCAGTTGCGCTGCCCTAAAGATCTGTAGGAAAATGCTAACACCTGCAAATCGTTTCTTATCTTTCCTCTATCTCTGAAATCAGGATTTGAGGGTAATCTTTATAGCTGGATTACAAAGAGAGGAAAGGACAATGTGGGGGGTTTCTTTCCCTTTTTTCCCTTTTTTTCTTTTCTTTTCTTCTCCCCTTCCTTTTTCCTTTCTTTTTTCTTTTTTTTTTTCTTTTTTTAACATTCTTGCTTCTCAGTGCTTGGCTGTGACTACCACAAGCTCCATGTCAGGGCTGCAGCCTTTACGCCCAGCTCTGATGAAACTCCCCTTGGCTTCAGCACAGGTTTTTAGCTTAATGACTCAAGGCTGCAGAACATGGCTGTCTATAATGTCTTAAGTAAAGTCTGTACTATTTGTCAGCCTTCCTCCTTTCAGATTTGTTTAAGAACATTGAGTTAAGACTACAAAAATTGAAGCAAAAGACCAGCATGAATAATTTGGCTGGATTGCCCCCAGTGCCGAGGGCTGGGTTAATACTGCTTTTCATGGTGCTTGAGAGGGTCTCCAAGGCCCATAATGAGAAACAGAATATTAAGCTGAAATTATGTTCAGCATGTCTTGAGGAAGGTACAGCATGAGGCTCCATTTAAGACCAGTGCATTTATTTGCATTTAGGTGCTTCACCCATCTTGTAAGACTCTTGCATCTTGCTCTGGCACAGTCATGCTGCTTATCTGTGTCCAAAGGTGAAAGAAAACCGGGGGAAAAATTGTTTTAATAGTATGCTATTAAGCTTGCTAGGTCAAAATTTTGAATTCAGCCTGTGGATAGTACTATTAGGAGGCTGGGATTTTTTTAAAGGTTTTTTGTGGTTATTTCCCCTCTTTTTTTCTGGCCTACATTGATGATATTAAGACTTTGTAAAACAGTTTTAGCAGGAAGTTTTTTGGCTGAAAAGCAGACCCCAGATGGGTGCTTTGTATGCTTCTCTAAGCAGGTAGGGTGCTAGTTGTCCTGAAATCCCATGTTACACGTGCACCTGATCTCCTCCATGTATGTGCTGCCAGTGTGGTGAGAAGGATGAGATCTGGGTGCCCAAGGAGTGGGATTCTCACATGAAAATGACTGGTCCTGGGATCCTGCCTCCTGATGTCTCAGATGTACGAAGACTTGCTTTTAGCTTCCTTTTTACCAGACAAAAACATTCAGAACACGAAATGGCTGTGGTTTGGTACAGTATATTTCTTACGAAACAGTTAAAGGTTTAAAAATTCCTGTGTTTTCTTCTTCGGGAGGCCTTTTGAAGTAAATGTAAATGTTACCTTAGGGGAGGACTTCTAGTACTATTTGGCCTGAGTTTTCTAATATGTAATGAACAGAGGCCATAAAGCAGACTGAATCCCCAAGAACAAAGAATCACTGTGCAGTGGTGTATCTAATTTTTTTTCTTCGTCTTTTTTTTAAAGAAGGTAAATATGTTTTCAAAACTTAATGTGACAAGCAAAACTGAAGGCAAAGCATCTGAAGAGTACTCTCTGTTAGCCTCTTCAACGTGCATGGACAGTGAGTGTCTGGGACCGTTGGGCTGTTCGGAGGGATCAGGAGTTCTTTCCCAGATCAGTTAGGAGTTGAATCTGCATAGTCTGCTGTGTCTGGTCCCAGATTTCTTCCAGTCTCATGTGGTTTACACGTAATGCACTTTGAAAGCAAAGACAAATACCTACAACTAATCATGAGGTTTGTCTTAGATTAAAAAAATTACATAGAGTGTGTCCCTTCAGACAGGCCAGAAGTAGGGTTCATCCAGAGGTATACACAGTGCTGTATGTGTAAGGCCATCTGGAACATCTTGCAACTTCCACTCGCAGTGCCCCAGGAGGGCTTTTAAAGCTCTTGCTTTGTCTTTAATATTTTGTTGTAGAGAGACTGTTCTTCCTCTGCAGTAACCTCTTGAGATGTTCTTGGATTTCAAGCCACGTGTGCCCACGGTGGGTCACCCTCTTCCCTGGAGATCTGCAGGGCAATCCTCTGAGTATGCAGGCTCTGTTGAGAATTGCAGGAACGTGGTGGTGGTGTGCGAGGGAGTTGGGCATGATTCATGTCAGTGCCTGGTATTGAGAGAGGCACGTGAGGAGGAGAGGGCTGCATGTCTGAGCAGTACTGGTACCCTAGCAGTCCCTGATGGCAGGTAGGTGCATGGACCCAACACAGAGCCCCGAGACTCACACTACAGAAATATCCATGCAGACTTAATTGGAAAACTCCTTTAGTGACTCTCTCCTTTTTAAATGTGCTATGCTTTATTTGGCTAATTGCTC